ATTTTTGGAGAGAGAAATGAAAATGATCTGTTAAAATAAAAAATAAAAATAAAATTATATAGAGATGACAAATTTGRAGAGAGACCGATAATAATAAATATTCAAATTATAAAAATTTTAGAGAGATAAAATAAATTTTGTTGAGAGAAATTTAGGATGGAAAAAAATTTAGARTGAGAAAAGAATTTTTTTAGAGATAAATATGAGAAAGAAAAAAAAAGTTGAGTATTAGAAGAAAAAATTAAATTTGAAAAACAAAAAACTGAAAATAGAAAAACAATTTAAAAATTAAAAAAAAAGTTGAGTATTAGAAGAAAAAATTAAATTTGAATGTGCTATCGAACAATTTAAAAAAAAACAAAAATAAAAAATAGAAAACGAAATGGTTATCTATTTCGTTTTATTTTTATCTTTTTTTTTTAATCATATTTTTAACATGAAACTTCTATCTTAAAATTGTATAGTCATAAATTTATATTAAATTATTTTGTTTGTGTCTAAAATTTAAAAACTTGGSAAACATGAATCAATTCAAACTTTTTAAGAGTACAAGYACCAAAACAGACACTTTGAAAGTACAATATTAAAARAAAAWAAAATTTAAAAGTAGAACAACAAAATATATGTTTTAAAAGTACAAAGACAAAAATGAACCAAAACTGAAAGTCTATTATTTGAGTTGAAAAAAAATGAGTCATCGAACGGGAATTTTTCAGCCACATTAAGCATGTGTGTGCGTGGTTAAATTTCTTCCATGGATTTACTACCAATCACATTAAACATGTTTGTGCGTGGTTAAATTTTTTCCATGGATTTACTATCAATGTCATGTCGAGGATACAATATCTTAGATTCGAAGGAATCAAAAATCATTTTCATCAACTTCATATTCAAATCATCATTCAATTATTTGATTCTAATGACAAACTAAGTCAAGTTGGTTACCTATATTTTTCCTTCTTAAACTTTTGCCATGCTTTTTCTAGTGAAAATTGTTGCATCAAATAATATGACTTTCAAGTTGGATAGTACCAAATGACAAGTGACGTGTCAAAGCGAGTATAGCTCRTCGATAATTGGTATGCAATGACATAGTACACCCTAATAATAGGACCATACTACTCACGAAAATGAAATTCAACTCAAAATAGAGAAAATTAGAAATAAAAGAGAGTTCGAATGTCATACTCACCTCTCGAAAGGCCATGTGCACATCCTTGCTTCCCATTCATGACTTAAAAGTCGTCTAGAAGAATTTATTTGTACTAAAAAAAACTTGAAAGTGAGTTAGTAATACCTTAACCATATTTATGTTAAAGGTTTGACTTACTATTTTTATTTTAGTCTCTAAAGTTTTTAATTAATCTTGGTCTCTAAAATTTAATTCATTTGGTAACCACTCAACCCAACCAATCTCATGTTTAGTTTTTAGGTAAGAGGGACTAATTTCATAAATAATGTAATTTAAAAAATAAATTAAAAAAAATATAAATAAAATAATATAAATTTGAAGGGTATGTTAAAAAACTATTGACTTATGGTCAAAGTCAAAATTTGTGGGCAATGTACTCGAGTTACACGTGTCCGCTTGAATTTGATGTGGTAGGTGAAGACTAATTGGAAATTATAAATCGTGTACGTTGTACGCGATTTGAGGGAAACCATATTATACACGATTTACCTTGAAAACATGTACATCGTACGCGAATTCTCTCAAATAGTGTACAATGTACACGTTTTCCAAGTAAATTGTGTACATTGTACACTATTTGAGAGAACTCGCGTACGATGTACATGTTTTCAAGGTAATATATACGAGTTTTCTCTGTACACGTTTTCACCAATAGTGGTTATCTATTGTAGTYAAGTGGGAATCTTATTCATCAAAATAAGTATAACTTAGCAGTAATTAACATATATCTCAAATTAAGAGATTGTGAGTAGATCCCTCACCCATACATAYTTTTACTTTTACTTTGTGCAATTATATGAGTAGTTAGTTTATGTCTTGCATAATTTTTTTTTTTTATATAAGGAAAAAAATGCTGAAATAAAGTTGAAGTGTACTATGATGTTGGAGTGGTAATTTCGAAGTACTATTAGTAGTTAAATTAAAATTGATTTGGTTGTTATGTGTGTCAAGAACACTCCAAAGTGTTCTCATCATTAAAGCAAATCCACTTATCCAATTTAAATCAAATAAAAATAATTCAAGAGTTCAAATTTTTAATCATGGAGTTGGCTTTTAGCAAATGTTGTTACTCATCTCATGGTATGGTTTCTCCAATGATTTCAAATATCCATTTTAGAGATCACATTATTATATTTATTTAGAGATCGCATTATTATATTTATTTTAATTGTGAGCTTAAGCATTCCTCAGTTGCATGATTCATTATCATTATTATTTTTACTCTCACAAAAAATATTGTTATTCAAACTAGTTATACAACCAAAGTGAATGTTTTTTTTTTTCTATTTTTGGTTTAGTAAATTGTGACTAAGATAATTACTTAAATTTGTAAGATGGTTTGAGTCTCCATCTTCGTAATAGTAATATTCTACTCTTAAAAAGAATCAACCTTGTGAAATAAAATATGAAAAAAGAAAGCTAACTAAAATTATACCGTAAACCGGTCAAAAAATCGAAAAATGTTTTCCAACTTCTAATTCTAGCGAACTAGTGGACAATTCCAAAAGAACTGTAAGAAAATTAAATGATACAATAAATAATTACTAACAAAAAAATTTTTAATACGGCGAAATACCATACTCTCTTTCTCATTACTTGTCACATGAATATTGTATTAAAAATAAGGTGAGATCTATTTTTTCTATTTATTGTATAAACAAAAAAGAACATCCTATTAGAACATAGCTTAATTGATCAAAATATCAAACTATGAGATCCGGAGTTTGAATGTCCACATAAATTTTCGAGGTACGTGAAGGTTTGATTTCATTGGTCCAGCGTGGCAACTTGGTAAAGCTTTCTGCCACAAGTGGGACCCAGAAAGATCACAGACAGGTAAACGTATCTTTGTCAACAGTGTCCGGTGATGAAGCATTTGTCATCTTCCTTCTCAAACTCTTCTGCTGATTGCAAAATGCTCAAACCATCCAACTTTTGGCTCACACCAAATCCAACTTTCTTGTCTAAAGCTTGCTCCTCATCTATTGACTCATTTTAAAACATTTTGAGTGTTGATTTCATTAACTAGTTTGTACCTTATCTTATATTATATTATTAGTGTTCATGTGTTTTGATCTAGTCCAATTGTTCGAGTTGTAAATTTATYCAACCAAAATACCACTTAATAAACAATTTAACCAAACTCAACCCAACTACGAAAGATTTGAATTAGKTGGGTTGTTCGAGTCATTCGGATCACTTATTCAAAGTTATATAACAAAAATAGTAAATGATAATATTTTAAACGTTTATTTAAATATTGTTGACTCCGGATCCAGATCTATAAGTTGATGTTTATTTATATATATGATGAGAAAATACACTCTAAAAACCTAAAAAATTATTTTTAAAAACCATTGTAGAATGAATAGTCCATAAAGAATTATTAAAAGAAATAACATTAAAATAAATATAACTATATATAATTTTTGTGGCGTGTAAAATAAATAATTTTAAAATTAGTAATAACTTGATTCGGTTCGATTCAACTCAAACTTATTTTAAGTTAACCATTAAACTAACTCAACTTATAGAATTTTCATTTATTTGAACATTCCAAATAAGTTTTTAACTCAACCCAAACCATTAGGATTAGATTGGATTGATCGATTTTTTCGGGTCTATCGAATTTTTTTAACACCCCTATTTTGTATAGACTGCTATTTTATAAAGCTTTAAAATTTTAACCCAATAATTTCATCCAACATTTTAAAGCATAACTGGAGAAACTTTNGTTTTAAAATGGAAAATATTGAATATATGTTACATGTGTTAAGATTATATAAAAGAATGAGTTGCAAATATTTTAATTTATGTAACTTATGTTTTGTCTGCACATTTTTATTAATTTAACGATAAACACAATGAGGCCTGAATCCATGTTATTTGAATTTAGAGTTATATAATCTATGGAAATGACAAATCTACAGTATCAAATAAATTATTATAAATATAAAACTCAAAACTTAATTACTATACAAACTGAATTCATAAAAATAAAAAGATTGACCAACTCTGTTATCTCATCGTACCGTTGAGAAACATATTTACATGGCTAAAATATAATAGCCTTTTTCTTAAATCAGTGAATTTCTATAAACATTTTGTTTTCAATTACATATTTTTGAAAAGGAAACATATAAACGCCATCTTTATTTAGGTTAATTAAAAAAAATTTCAAAATCCAAGCCAAATTATAAAAACTTGAATCATGTTTGATAACCATTTCAATTTTAATTTTGTCTTTTAAAATTATTCTTGTTTTTGTTTGCTCACAATTTCTTTGGTTTATTTTCACTTTTTTTTTTTAAACACACTTGAAAGTTTTTTAAAACTACTTTTTTTTTTCAAAATTGACTTAGATTTTGAAAATATTTTTAAAATATAGAAAGCAAAACAAATAAATACATAGGTGAAAGTAGTATTTACGATCTTAATTTTCAAAACAAAAATAAAAAATAAAATGGTCATCAAATCAACTCTTAAAAAAAAGTATTTTTTGTATTTAAAATTTGACTAAGAGTTCAAAAGTTTTTTTTTAAGTGAAAAATATACCAATGAAATTACGAGAAACAAACATAAGTTTTAAAACCTAAAAGAAAATTTGTAATCAAACGAGAACTAAATAAATCAACTTAAAACAAATCACAAGAAAAGATGTTTAATGTTTCCTTCACAAGAGCATTTATTCCACAATGTCTATCCAAGAAGTATTTCATAGCGAAAGGTGGGAGCATCTAATTAGAACTTAAAACTTAAAAGGTCTCTTTGGAAGTCAATTTTCAAAATTAATATAAATAAATAAAAGTAGAAAACAATTTCATTTACTGCTCATATATAATCCTTAACTATTTTTTGTCCTCAAACTTCTTCCCATTGGCAAGGGTACACGGTCCTGTGTAACACCTACTTAGAGGATGTATGTTTGAACCTTTAAGTGAGCTTAATAATAAAACTCTTGATGTCTYTCAGGTCYGAGTCGGACACATGAACTCTTAAAAAGGAGAGCAAAGCTTCGATTAGGAAAAAAAAAAAAAAAACTATTCCAGTACCTGTACACTACAAGCCCCAGTTGCCCCAGTTGCCCCAGCAGAAACTGCTTCCTTAAAAGTACTTCACTCAGCAGCCAAAAGCCTGAAACATAATAATTATGGACCTTAGAGCTTAATTGCTAAACTTGTACCTGTTCTGATTCTCCAGCTAAGCTAGCTCTAAATAGACAGCATACTCTCCAATGAGCGCCATGTCACGAAACTACTGGCTTCGGCTCTGCACATGGTTTAGTTACATTTCAAAACTATATTACTGGCAGAGATTTGTGAAGTTGACTGAATGAGAATGGAGTAAAAACCAATTCCGTAACTCGACCAAACATATATACGCGTTAAAGATTGTAACACGACTCACCATCCACTTTACGGTATATTCGGTCAGAATTTACTTCCATCGCCACCCTGGAACTTAATTTGCTTGCCAGTCTCTTTTCCTTTGAAGAACTCAAAGAACCTTCTACTGTTCACCAGGAAAATGGACATTCAGAATATAGTGAAGATAGAAGATTGCACTCACCCAACAAGAACTCGATTAGAGACGACAGTCAATGCAAAAGTATCATACACGTGAACCTCCAACATACCTATTAGTGCTTCTGAGCTTTAAAAATAGGTTTAATTACTAATTTTGGTCTTTGAACTTTCGTACTCATTACTAAATTGTCCAACATTTTATTTTTATCTTTATCTTTCGACTTTAAAATGTTCTATTCTRGTTCTCAACTTTGCATAAAAACTTATCTTAGCCCTACTCATTATTAATTTTTCATTATTCAATTAATTGAACCCAAATCCATTTGAAAATTCAATATTTAACTACTACATGTGACTTCAAATGTTTGCCTATATCATAATCTATTAAACAGGTAAATAAAGATAATGTGACAGTTTAGAAATTAATCAGAGTTATATTATTATAATATACATGTTCTCTTCAGGGTTGGATTCCTAATCCAATCATCACAATTTCATTTCATTAATTAATGAAATTATTACATTCCATATGACGAAAAAGAAATGAAAAGAAAGGGCAATATTTTCATACCTTGCCATTCCCATACTTCTTTTCCTTCACCCTTGACCAGTCTYGGGTAGCGATCTATTCGTGAGTCTTCCTGAACCAATTCCTCTACCTAAAAGAGAAATCAGAGAAACCATGGAAACATATAATAAATTAATGTCAAACTTTACTCAAATAGACGAACTTATAAAATTTACAAGAAACAAAACAGTCTCGTTGAACTTGCGTGTGGCCAAAAACAAAAAGTACAAGGGAAAGCATCAGGGAGAACATCAAGTTAAGTGATTGCAAATTGGCATATGGAGAGGACAAACAGACTATATGATCTCTTCCTTGATGGAGTTTATTAACACTTAATAAGGTAGCATCTTGGGCAATTACTTGGACTAGTTGGATTCCAAATTTTAGCCATGGCTAGAGTCATAGAAAGATTCATTCATCAAAAATTCAGAATCCATTCCTCTTCCTCATATATGGCATCTGAAGTTGAAAAAAGAAAAATGAAATTATTTCTAACTTTTTAGGCAGGTTTCAATGGATTTGAATGTCCCAAGTAGTATGGCAAACTCTGTTACCAAATATTAAGAACTCCAACCACCAACCAGACTGTTACTTCAGAAAAAATTTTATATTAAAAAATCACGCAATACTAAAATAGATGAAGAAATAATTAATAGCTTGATAGCTCCTAAGGATCCAAGATCAATTGTTCTTCACATTTGGKATAAGATAAATTTATTCTAAATGTAATGAAATAACACATAATGAGAAAGTCCAGGAGGGACATCATACCTTCCTCCATAACAAAGGATCCTTCCTCTCTCGTGGCAAAAGAAGATGGTCGCGTAACCTGGATGCAACAACCCATGATTCACATTGACCACTTATTCTCTTTGACATCAAAGCATTTTCCTCAAGTATTTCGCAGACCTGTGAGGAAGACAGAGAGTTCAGCGCTAGAATGAAAAATCTAGTGGAACCAATTAGTCGCTGGAAAAAGTCTTACACTTCTATTTTCTTGATACTAGAGGACAATCTAAATATATACAAATTTAATCACACAACCCACTGACAATGCATGATGAGACTTGAGAGGACATGATTCAGCTTAATTTAAGAACCAGAACCAACCTCACGACTAAGCAAATCATGAAAAGAAAAAGAACTATTCAAAAAATAAAATTGAAAAAGCCACGGCCTTATACCTGGTTGTACAGATTTTCAGCTCTATTTGTTAGATGTTGTCTCCGGTAAAGTTTCCATAGTAACCAAGTGCATCCCACAAGCTGTACATCTCAATATCATCAACTAGCTTCAACATATTGCAACTAAAACCTAATGAGTTCAAAGCTCCCTTGTAGAGTAGAATACCAGTAAGAAAACTGGCAAAACAACAAAAGCATGCTTCAAAACCCAATGATGAATACGGCAAGTAAATGGCTTGTAACTTTCAGCCAGCAGATCTGGACATTTCAATTCCTCGATCCTAAACAAGAAGGAATCAAATAAATTCAATCAGCACATATTCAATCAAATGATACATTGTTTCCACTAAACTTCAGGCTTTATACAAATATTGAATGGCATACCCAAGAGAATTTTGCTGTGTCTGAAATAACCCAATAATAGTTTCCAATGCCTTTCTCTTCGCATACATAAAAGTGGTGTTGTCAGAGCCAATGTTTTCCACCAGTGCTTGACCATCTAAATCATCCCATATATCATCCTCTTTAACCTGATAATGAATTCAAATTGAAACTACGTATGCTAACAACAAAAATACTTGGTCCATCCAAATCAAACGTGCAGCTAAATTTGCCTGATTAAATTTAACACTTAATAAGAAAGAAGTCTTTCATTAAGAGAAATAGAAGTGCCACACAAAAAGAAGGGCAAAGGCTTGAGAGCTATCGGAGAGGGAAATAAACATAAAAGAGAAAATTTTTATAGGGACATCAAGATAACAAACCCAGACTGTCCCAACTCCATCGCACATGAACTTGGCATTTGCTTCACAGAGGTGAGATTCTAGCCATTCTGACTGAAACAATGTTACGAACAAGTGTGAAGTTATGACAGAGAAAAAGAGAGAAAAATAGAACAACAGTTACCAGGGAAAAAATCTCATTACATACAAGTTTCTTAACTGCTTCATTGATTACTCCATCTTCTATGCATAACCTTCCGTGCTTTCTATAACCACGAACACATTCCAACTCACCTCCACGGCATTCTCCATGACTTGGACAAGGCTTGCAAGCATCTGAAATAAGATACTTTTTGAGGAGAAATATGGAACTACCAGACAAAAACCAAAACAATGAACATCAACAGATTGATTCGTATTAAATTAACAAAATTGGCTGTACATTCAACTTGGAGAATGTATAAGAATAAACGGAATATTATAAGAAGAAAATKTTAGGGTAAAATGAAATAGAAAGGCTGCTAAGTTTTTACAGAAAAACAGAAGATGCCATGTGAACAAAGAGGATAAAAAAAAAATACATTTTACGTTTACTTCATCTCTAGACAAAGTTTACAAAATATCCAAAGAGCAAGTTGACAATTGAAATAAAACAAATATACGTTTCCAAGTCGAGAAACCATTTAAGAAATTGAAAATTTTAAAGTTACTTCCTCATTCAATGATCACGTAGGTATTTTCCTGATGAGAAAATAAACAAGCACACAGTTGGTATTGAAGTTCTATAACTAACTGTACAGCACAATATGATAGATCAAAAGTTAATTTTAAATATTCCACAGACAATTAAACACCGGATTAATCAAGGTGCGATTCTCAGCACTCTAAAATGGCTAAAAAATTGACATGATTAGATCAAGCACTGGCACTCGGGTTCTACTGCCGCCCACGTCAGTTTCCTCTGGCTCCACATTCTACTTCTACCATAACAAAGCGTACTAGCTCGTGGCGCCATTATACTCAAAAGTGAAAACATCATTTCATGTGACCAGAATTCTTGTTGGCATAGAAAAACTAAATGCAATGAGAAAAAGTGACCTAAAATATGCATCCAAATCGTAAAGAAACAAAATATCACATCACACAGAAAAAACATATGCTAGAAAACCAACAAAAACTAGAAATGACCAACCAACACAAACCCGTTTACATGTAGAACATCCAAAAAAGAGCTTGCAGCGCGTTCACCAACATCATTTTCAGTTTCCTCATCTTCGCTTTTCTTAAAACACCAAATACACGAGGAAGGTAACAATGCCATTACTTACCAGAAAGCAAGTCCAAGGAATCGGCGTCAGTGTCGCAGAAAGGCTCCGGGCGGCGACTCGCGAGTCTAGATACGAAGAAGTTACAGCTCAGAAAAACCAAGCAGGCGATGAAAAGTACAGTAATTAGCCTAATGAGATCGTTCTCGGAGGGAAAGAAATCGCGAGGCGGTTGCTTGAGAGACTTCAGCAACACTGTAGAAGATGAAGCAGAAGAATCGCCTTTAGAACCGGCATCGGAGTCCGGATTTGGCTTGAGTTTCTTTCGCCTCTTCGGAGTTGAAGACATCGATCAACGCTGTTCTTCAATCTTCTTCACGTCCTGCCTCCTCTCGAGTTTCTTTCCTTTGCCTCTTTTCTTTCTTTAATTTTTCTTTCTTTCTTTTCTTTCTTTAATTTTTCTTTCTTTTTTGGATAAGTGGGCTTCGTTAAAATGACCTCCAATTGAATTTTGTTGTTCTCATTGACCAAATTACCCTTCGCTCCAGTTCACCCATATAACCCATAAATTTATATTTTTAGTTAAATATAGATTTCTTAATAATTGAACTCTTTATATATATATATATATATATATATATATATTTTTTTTTTTTTGGTTAAACTCTAGGCTCTAAATTTAGTTTTATTATTTAACCCACTCTAAAATCTACCTTGTTTTCTACATTTTTAACTCCAATCGAAACTCTAATATATAGGTAGTTAAGTTTAATTAAAAATTACAACCTCGTCCTAAAGTAAGCATAGCTCGATGCTAATTTACATATATCTCCAACCAAGAGATTGTGAGTTCGTTCCTCCACCCTTATAAGTTGTACTAAAAAAATCATAATCTCATTACTTACCACATAACCACAAATTGTGGATCAAATTAAATTTTAAAATTATAGAAATCAAACGCGGATTTGATATATATATATATATATATATATATATATATATATATATATTATTTTCTACTTTTAACTAATTTGTATATATTTCCAATCTAACTGTGAGATCGATCTCCACCTCCACTTATTGTACTAAAAAAATTAAAACAGTCTTATTCATTTTTTGTTTTTCTATTTATTTTTTAAAAGCATTTGAAAAATCTAACTYAGAAAATTTTAAAACACCACTAATAATTTACAAAACTTTTTTTTCATGAAATTTGACTAAAAACTTAAATTTATTTTTCYCAAAACATAAAAATAAAAAACATAAATTTAAAAACAAAAGAGTTAACGGATTATTCGTAGCTAACTAAAAGCGAAWATGAATATCACTATCTCCRAAAGTATGAATTCGAATTCTTGCCCGAAGCCAAGTGGTAGTAAAAATCCGTAACCAAATTAGAAGTTAGGAAAGTGTAATTTAACTTACCACGGTAAAAAGATATTAGCAAAAGTTATATGATCCTCAATCCTCATCCAACGGAACGGACCGACCCACAAAGGGTAGCAGTTGAAGTTGAAACTTTTTTCCAAATGGAATTTTCCCAGCGAGGGATACGCTTACGCTTGAAGTAAGCAGATCAATGGAAGGGCGCACCTGAATTCTCCGATTATTTTCACTCCACCTCTTCCCAAACGGCCGGTGAGCTCGCCGTATCCTGTTCTCCGCCATGCTTTTCTCAGGTTTTCTATGTCTTCCGCTCCAATTCCATCGTCTCACTCTATGTTCGTCGCAGATTCCGGACCAGTTTGAAATACTTGTTCCTAGTAATCGTTTTCAGAGCCTTTCGATTTCGTTGGAGACGAAGTGGTTAATTTCGTCGCTGTCTGCTCTTTTTGACGGAAAGTAGGTATTCTCCATTTTCTGCCTTTGTTCCTGTTTGCGTCAATGGCGAATGTTCTTCTGATTCTGAATCGAGATATTAATGAAGTAGAGCTGAAATCATGTGAAATTGGGAAAACCTTAGGAATTTAGTTCGGAATTCGTTTTACTTTCGAGTTCATTCGAGAGTCTGATCTCAATTGGAAACAAATTTGCATTCATATATTTTGAATTCTTGATTTGTTTTTCACTTTCTAAGCCTGTTTGAGATGGGAAAACACCGAAAGGATTAGAAAATAACTTGCAAACTACTATTTATCTAGCTTTGGAAAAGACGCAACTTCTAAAATTGAAAGAATGTGATTTCTGGATAAAACTGAATAAAATTACGAGCACAGAGAATGAAAAACTACTTCAATAGTCTTTGCATCACGGATTTGCAAGTCTACCATTTTATCATCCACTCAAATTATCCATTCACCATACCAGCACCTCTTGCCTTACTTTCGATCCTTAATCTTGGAAATGTGTATTTCAGCTGTTTTCCTTAATGAAGTGAGGAGAGCTACCTGATGGCAGACCTGGGATACTGCTGGCACATGAGCAAACTTGTAACACTAGGAGTCTTGGTTTCTGGAGGGATTGTATTGCAGTTTTTGGTTAGTAGAATCTTTCTTTGACCTGGACTACGAGTTTTCTTGTGATTTCTGGAGGGATTGTATACTCCTACGAGTTTTTTTTGTCAACAAAATGTGGTAGGGTTAAGCAGTTGGTCCGTGATTAGTCGAGGTACACGCAAGCTGATTCGGACACGCGAATAAAAAAGAATCTTAGACAAATATTTGCTCAATATTTTCACCATTTTGATATTGTAAATTTTTCACAGGGGCTTTAGTTATTTAGTTATGTAGGATCCTTTACTAATTCTTCTCCAGATTTCTGAATTCTTCATTTTTGTGTAATGACAGGCATGTGTTTTGTACARTAACTGGTGGCCATTGCTTAGTGGTAAGACTGAAAAATGTCTGTTATAACCCAATGTGTAATGTCTTTGTAATTTTCTCAGCAGTTGATACCAAATTTGCTTCAGTGGTCATGCCATATTACTGGGAAGATTTTGTAGCAAAACAAAGCCATTCTGGTTTGTGTTAATAGGATATAACATGAGTTGTTTTTGTAAGGAAAGCTGCTTCCTTTCAGTACTTTCTGGAGACAACTGATAACAATCTTCACTCTTGCAAGCAATCAAAGTCAATTCAATTTAGAAAATAACGTTGCTGACCGTAATTTCATTTCATTATTCTTGCAGTGATTATGTACATTCTTCTCCCAATGCCTTTGCTGTTTTTCGCTGGCTCCGATACTTCCTCACTATCTTCTGAATCTGGAGACAGGTTTGTTTCTGATCATCATACTTCATTCTCAATCCCAGACAGATAAAACCCATGCGTAGACTCTATAACACGTTTATTTTTAACGATTAACGAAATAGCTGGGTGAATGCGACTAAATTTTTAACTGGAGCTTCAACGGTTGGAAGCATTGCAATACCTGTAATTTTGAAGCATGCTAATATTATCGGCTGGGGAGCACTTGCACTGGATCTCTCGTCCCTTTTAGTCTTTGTGGTGGCCATTTTGTGTTATCTATGGATGAGTAATGAAGATGACTACAATACACTCTGAGACGTATATCCCTCGAAGTACCCATGTAGAAGAAACCGTTTTTAAAACCCTCAGACACTTCCATAATCAGTTCTACGTACACCAATGTGTTTGAAGTGTGAACTACTTCAACAAGTCAACGTGATCCAACATTCAATGTTCGTCAATGTCTATAATCATCGTCAAGTATTCTTATTGCCTCCATCTCTGCTAGAATTAAAATCATACAGTTCTAATTACCTCCCTTCTGAATTTAAATTTTCCTTCTGCTTTTGTGTAGATCCAACTTTTTGTCTATTCAATAGGATATGTATGTAATGCGAAAGAGGGTGGATAGAGACATGTCGAATGTATTACTATTGGATGCAAGTTCAAATTTGTATGCTCTTAATAACCATTCAATAGAAGTATGAAATTCAGTTTATAGATTTTCATCCAACGGTGTAAAATTGCTAGCTAGCCCCCTCTGATAACTCTAGAGTTTCAGAAAGAGGTAAGATTCGACCTGTTTTCAACTTTCCATAAAGCCCAATTCAAATTTTTGTTATCATCAATTTCGAACCTTTTCGTAAGCTCTCGAAGCTTCGTGTGACGATTCCTTAGCTCTCGAAGCTTCGTGTGACGATTCCTTACCCTTCTTTCTTCTGCAATCTTTCTTAGACTAATGGAGTGTTTCTTATCCAAATTAAAAAAGGAATGTCAAGAATCAAAATGACTACATTTGTATTTAAAATATCAGATTATTAACAACAAAGTTGGCCCTCACTGAGGATTCTTGTGAGAACAAGATCATTAGATTTGTAGTCAATGTGAACTTACTAAGTCAAGAATTCATTCATCACAAGCAAGATTTGAGTTCCATAGAGAAGAATATTTGAATCTCGTAATCACCATATACCATACTGGAAACCATCAAGAATGTAAAGTTTTTCCTCCTAATACCATCGAATGTTCAGAACTTATATGCTTCGTTACTATTCCAATTCTGAACAATTCTAGTAAACATAATTGGCTCCTAATTCTTAGTTACATTCTCCATCTGATTGATTCTCGTCTTGATTCCTACCAAGTAAACGGGCCTAAATGAAATGCAACAAATTAATGGCTAACATTCTCCTTCTCTTTCTCGAGAAGGGCTTGGTGGGCGAAAAAGCTTGCGGCGATAATCAAAGTTTTTATCTGTTCTCATTTGTCTCAAATGAAAAGTACAGTTTCTTATTAAAAAAAAAATGGCTAACATTGAATGATTCCATAAACTTCTCAATAGTACACCCAAATATCCATGGAGGCATATTCTGGTGGCTAGCCATGGAATCTGTAATTTCAAGTAGAGCTACAACTTGGCTCAAGGAAAGCGAAGCACAAAACAGAGTCAATTAAGACTTAAAGAAATAGAACTCCGTTTCCCCGGATTTACGTCTCCAAAGATGAACAATTTTTTCCCTTTTAAAAGAAAAAATTACGGATTTCAAATTTCACAGATTGCGAGATGCAAATCGTGAATGCAGTCTACGAAGAAGAGAAAACAAACAAGAAAATTCAACGACAATCATATGCAAAAAGAACAAGTCTACTCAAATTCTTTTTAATTCACAGCGTTCGCTCGACTAGAATAAGCGTTTCGGAATTTAATCATAATTTCGCTTACATCTCAAGCATCCTCAGAAGACGACGCGAAAAAGGGGAGCATCGGAGCCGGTCGCAGGCAGAATCTCCCAGCGGCACGGCTCGAGGTCGTCGGAGACGGGGCAGTATCCGGCGAGCGTGACCTTATCGGACGAAGAGGAGACGGAGCCGAACTCGAAGACCGTCACACTGCCCGGTCGGGGGACTTCGACGGCGCCGTTCAGACCGGGGACTTCGGCCGGCTGAGATACATTCYTCAGAGGAGGCTGCGGCTTCGAATTGGACTCCGATGGAGCTGCTTCGCCTTTCCACCATGAGAGAAGGCCCATCGGAAAGTGAGGATTACGCCGGAGGGAGACTGAAAACTGGTTTAGGGTTTTGGAGATGGAATTGATTAAAATGGATAAAGGCTCAGGACGGAGCGTTCTTTTTTATGTCTTTCCGACCGTCTCTCGAACCTTTTATTTATTTTTTTCCCTTTCTTTCTTTCTTTTTGAAATAATCTTTCGAACTTAAATTAAGAAATTTTAGTTCGATTTCAGAAAATGTTATAAAAAAGAAAAAAAGTTCGTAAAAATTATTTAMATTAACAAATAATTATTTTAACATTTCTAAATAAATAAAAAATATTAATATTAATATTATATCTATATTAGGTATATATACAGTCACCTCTATATTTTTTTTACAATACGATTTGAATTATCCAGACAATGCATTATATTACGACAGAAAATTTAATAACTTGATACATATTAGAATATTATGTTATAATTTTCTTTTTCTTTTTTGATTCAATTGTTGTGATTGGCTCAAAGATTTACTTTTTTTTTTCTTTTTTGAGTTCAATGTCAGGTGGGAGATTCGAGATTCAATTGAATTTTCGATTTTTAAAAATGTAGATATCCTTACATCTACATATTAAGTTAGAATTCTACCCTAGACTAGATCTAGATGTGCAAATATATACTATACAACTACATATTAATTGCCTTCAAGTTCATAAAGACAGTAAATTTATTTTCCCTTCAAAGAAAAAATAAATTCACATTCATTAGTCATCCCACCCAAAAACAACTAGTAGCCTAAACTAAAGAGAGGAGGGTTCGGTGAGTTAGATATCCAATTTGCTTAATTATCGGAAGGATCACTTACTATTATTATATCAAAATTTCTTTTCCAATTTAATACTCAGTATTATCTTTTATTTTTTAAAATATATTTCTTCCACTTAGAGATGATTAGAGATGATGCAAAAATTCAATACTCTTTTAATGTAGTATTTCATATCCCAATAGAACCAAGGTTTTAAAGGTTGAAGTCTAAATTTTATGAAAATTTCAATGGAAATATCAATAAAATGTAAATACAATTGAAGGGACCAAAATAATTACTTTTTAAAAATATACGAATCAAAGGGCCAAAATAGTATTTAAGCCAAAATAATGTCATTCATTTCTGGGTCATTTTCACCAACGTTGAGGAAGAACTCATGATCTTTAACCTGTTTATGGCTTTATCCAAAACATATCAAATATTTCTAGGCCCGGCCCCAAGAACTATGGCAAAAATCTATGCTTTAATCCTATTACAGCCCCCCCAAGAAGAGCGACTCAAAGAGAGTAGGAAGTAAATTATTAACCGAGGAGTTGAGAATTCCTAAGATTAAGTCTTATGCATTTCATTTGTCTATGAAAACTCAGTCCCTAGACCAAAAAGTTTAAAAAAATATATAAATAGATAAAAAAGGATGAGGTGAATTCAATAACAAAGAATTGTTAATGGACTTCCCTTGTCATGGAGTCTGAGAATGGTCCAAGATCATGTGAATTTGTTGATACGAGACATTCTCTGCTCGATTTGGTGGGTCGTGTGGCCATTTGGGGGATTGGGAAGCCGATTTCTACGTTAACTATGAACTCATATCAAGAATTTCTGGTTTGGCCAATGGAAAGTGATGGAAACTGCAAACAGATTGATACCAAAGACAGGGCAGACCTGGACGTACAAAGCTCTAAAAACCTTAAAACACGGAGGTTTTCGAGTCCTGAGATATATAACTTTAAGCAGACTAGTACTATAGAAGTGGAACCTCAAAACAAAGTCTTGAAGATTGACAAACTTTTATGACAGGTCAAAAGAAACCTCAATCAGACAGTATATTTCAGTTCTATCAAGTCTAATTTACACCATTCACTACTTTGTGGTGTCATAAATTGTCTCCTTAACAATCACAAACATTTCCAGCTATGTGAAAGGGAAAGAGTTCACAGTTTGCTCAGTAAGAATCAGATATTGTGATCTAAACTCCAAAATTTCATCTCTTGTACTCAGACTTGCAAAATTTTACCAGCTAACTCATCCATACAGTAAAATCCCAAATTCATCCTTGTTAACCTTATGGTTGCAACCAAATTGGAGCATGAAACTAAAAATTAATGCTATTCTTTTTAACTATTACATGAGATCAAAAATTTACTTTGTATTCATGGAGGTGTAAGCCTCTTATAATCCAAAGAAGGCTTGAACCTAGAAATTTGAGCCTCTACCCAAGGAAGACAAAAAAAATTTAAGTCTTGCCCCGAGGCACGAGTCTAAAATTCTTTTTCTAAACATTGTATATTGATCGAATCAAACAAGTGAGGGGCGGCCAATCTGAACATACCACAGTGGTTAAGGTTATCTCTACCTAGTAACTTTAAATTCCTACCCCATATTAGTTTCAAATCTCTTCCACATATTTGATGTAATATTCTAAGCAAAAGAAACTAGTGAAGCCGATAATTCATTACATGAAAATGCTTATAGATCTATCCAATCAACCAGTGAAGGAATGAAATGGTAACTTGTAAACTTGATATGACGAATTAAATGTGTATCAGGGGAAAAAATGATGATCTACTGAGAGGCAAAATTAGATGATTCAAGATTTTCTGTTACCTGTTTGACACAGCAGTTCAAGAAATTGATCTCTACTAAACCCCATTTCTGTTTCCTCAAATGTCATTGGCAGCTTTGGAATTGCGAAAATCTCTTTTCAAATCTCCAACTCTTTTTATGCAAGCTGCCTTCGTTTTCCCAGGAAGAGCAGCCGCAATCTTCTCCCACCTCATCGGAGCTTCCTTCGGAAACGCCTTCAAAGCATTGAGCAACGCAATGTCTTCCACAGAATTCCATCCGTCCGCCGTTCCACCGCCGCCGACCCGTTCTTCATCAACGTTTTCAATTCTCTTATCCACCGGCTTCCTCTTCTTCAGAAATTGTGCATACGAATCCTCATCACCTAATTTCTTCTCTCCCATTTCCTTCGCCATCTTAATCACACTCTCCAGTTTATGCCTTCCGCCAAACGCCTCCGCAATAATCTCCCACCGCCGCGGCTTCCCCACGGGATGCTTCGCCAATTGCTTCTTTAAAAACCCTAATTCCCCCTCGTCCCACTCCGCCTCCTCGATCGCAAAACCGACTCCATTGTTATTACTTCCAAAAGCTCCATTCCTGTTTTCCTCCTTCAAAGACGCATCAGTTCTTCCAGCGACTTCGACTGCAGCAACGGCGACTTCCTCGGATCTACGTGGTTTTGAGCGCTTCTGAACGGCTCTTTTCTTCGGATCGTCCTCCACTTCGGGTTCCTCGCTAGGAATTTCGACAATCGGACCTCTGCCGACTCGGATATCGCCGCCGGTGATGGAAATGGGGGCGAAGGGGCCGATAAGAAGCGAGAGAGAAATCCAGATGAGGAGGGATCTGAATGGCTCGTATTGGACAAACAAAATTGAGAGAACAAGAAAAATGGAAGATATTAAGACGGAAATTGAGACAAAGATCTTGCTGGATTCTGGTTCGTTTCGGAGCTCAGTCGCCGAAGATGGATTGGCGCGWGAGTGAAACAGGAACCTGGGCTTCGCGTCTTCGTCCAGAAACTCCATTTTCGGTTCAGAGCTAGAAACTAAAAAGTTTGACCATAGAGTTTATATACGTCTGCGCTGATACAAACGACGTCGTTTCATTGATTAGAGAGACGAAGAAGTTAACTTTTTTTTTCCTTTTTATACTCTTCCTTCTTCTTCCACTTTTTTATTATTGGTTTTTATTTTCCTCTAATATCACATTAGAAACTAGAAATACAGAGGAGTGGAACCTATTATTTCTTTGTTTRTAGTATAATCGGAAATAGGTATCTTAATCACTTRGAACGATATTTTAGTTGGCTAACATAACATATATTTAAATTGACAAGACAATTAAGTTGTTGGTTAAATTACTYATTAGACAAATTGTACCACCACTCAACTTTTATATRTATATATTTAGTATATTACGTGGGAATGAGAGATCGAACTGTATATATATTTARTATATTATGTGGGGATGAGAGATCGAACTCACAGCYTCTTGGTTGGAGATGTATRTTAATTACTGTTGACCTTTACTTRCTTTGGTAACTCACAAAAATATTAAAGGTAACAAAATAAATTTTCAGATTTTTTGTAGTTGCAGAAATTAGACACATTATTAATTAGTTTCTAATGTTTGTCATGATTTTTCGACCTATGAAAAAAACTGCTTGATGAATTAATTAGTCGAGTTATGTTTATATATTTATATAGCAAAGTTAAAGTTTAAATTGCCTTTATGAAGCATAGAAATAAGTTAAATAACACAGTAAAGAAAAACAATTATTGTCCTAAACTATGAAACAAAGTACAGATTAGGCTTCATATCAACTAGATTCCTCACTAATGAAACTAAAACCGAGTACTATCACATTGAAAGACATCTCTAAGAATTGGGAGGGAAATCAGAGGGAGAAATTTGAGATGTAGCTTTTATTTGAGGCATGAAAAAAATAAGATTTAAATACTTCTTGTTTCGTGGTTCATTTTGATCGTCATTCTACTTTCAAAACGTGTATTTTAGTCCTTCTACTTTGAATTTTTTTGAGACTTTTGAAAGTTCGTTTTGGTYYCTGTACTTTAAAAAAAGTTRCCGTTTTGATCATTTTATTTTTATTTGTATCTCATTTATTTCGATCAAAAGTTACAATTTTGATCCCTAATTACAATGGTAACTTTTAACSGTATGTAGACTAAAATSAACAAAATTTGAAAATTTWAGGACGAAAATGACCCATGCGAAAATAGTGCTTAAACTAAAAAAGAAAATTGGGCATATATTGTAAATTTACAAATTTTAACAAAAATGCATTTTATGAGATAGAGACTTGAGTGAAGTGGGCTGAAAGCATCATCCTCATAATTCAAAGGGCATTAAACTCCTTGAATCCATAGTTTCTTGCAGATTTGGATTTTATGCCACACCAAAGTCAAAATGTTTACGTCAAAGTTTGTTTTTTTCCCACTTGTATTTTTTAATTTCATTCAAAATTTCTGCTACTTATTTTTACCGGTTTGAACATAATTCAACTAATTAAAAATATGTATTACGATTAAAATATTATGAATTTTAATTCTCACCCCTACTAAAAAAAATTACTTAAATTTTCATTACAAATCATAATGAAGTTTACTCTAATTTAATTCATAAACTTGTTAGATTTAAAGATAACTTAAAATGAAATGAAATAAAGAACTTAAAAACTTAAACATGAGGCACAGCTCTTTAGCTAAAAATAATAACAAATCTAGCCCAAGTTTAAAATATTTATAAATACAAAATAATTTTGAAAAAAAAAAAAAAGAAAAACTCACCGGTAACCGATATATTTCTACTTCCCACATCTATGGATCCATATATATTAGACACTAATAGATGCACGTCATAAAAAAAATCATATTTATAAAATATGTTTATATTTTATAAATAGGACAAAACAATTTACCACCCATTATAATTCTCCGCCGAAATTTGTCATCAATGACTGTGACTTTTAGTTGTGGGGTTGAATTTAAGATATAAAACTACAAAGTAAAGAAATTCGAGTCTTTTATTTTATTACACACCTTTGAAATTGAAATTAAATACACTAAATCAAATAATAGGAATAGAATGACATTGATTACATATCAATAATTAGAAATATATTGAAAAATTAATTATACCTTCAATTCAAATACCAAAAGGAGGAGAAAATCAAACCAATCCAATAAGATTTTTCATCCTCAGCTGGGAAGAAACACAATTGAATTTTCCAGTGGGAGTTTTTTTTTTTTTTCAATCGAAACAACTTTTAGAAAATTTAAAAATAAACAATTGAAACCACAAAGAAAAAAAAAGATCAATTAATTAATTAACTTGAACTCCAGTGTCGTAGGTGTCTCCGGCCTTCCAGTTCCGAGGAATATCGTTGACCGGGACGATCCATTGCTCGTCGCCGTCGTCGTTCGTCAGCAACATTCTCAACGACAGCGGCCCTCTCGGCGGCGCCGCCGTCGTCCACACCGTCCCGTAGCTCCGATCCAATAGCTTGCACACGAAGTTTTTCGTCTGCAAAATTTTATCARAAATAAATTTTCTCGAAAAAAGAAAAWATGTTTTTGCTCCTGATTTTAATGAGTTTACAGGTTTTTTMCAATGAATAAACTACCACTTATATTAAAAATTWAAAAATTTAAATTGATGGTGGGATGAATYTAATTATATAAACATAATTATCCGTTTTAATTTTTATTTTATTTGTTTTATTCCAAGGGGTGACACATRCACTYAATATTAGTTGCTTAAGTTCGAATCCTTCAAATTAAATTTGTACTAAAAATATTATTTTTATTTGTTTTATAAATATTTTTTGTTTCTTGTTGTTTAAAACTTTAAATAAGGAAATATACGTTTTATATAAAATTTAATTTTTTAAATTAAAATTCAAAACTTTTTCATGTTATATTTATTTCTTAAATTTATTAATGATAAAATAAGATATTTCGATATAAATAATAAAAAAACAAGAATCTTAAATTTTCTTTTGTTAAATTTTAGAAATATTTCTAAAAATAGAGAAACAATATATATAAACATTTATCAAATGTTTGTGTTTTTCAATTAAAACTGAAAACAAGAAACARTAAAYAAGAAACGAAAAAAATGAAAACATTACTAAATGAGTCTTAAAAGTTTCAAAATTAAGAAGATAAATAGTTATATATATAAAAATTTTGTTTTTAGTTTTCAATTTAAARAAGTATGTTGTTTTCTTTACCATTGTTTAATATACTTTTTTATAAATACGTTTGAATTATTAGGAAGGAAAAAAGAAAAAAAAAAGCCGGTTTAGATTTTAATTTTTTTTTCCTAAAAAAAGTACATAACAAGCCAAAGAAATAGAAACTAGAAGTTATATCTATAGGTTTAATATTAGAAAACATAGATCAAACAAGGTCTAAGATAGTAAAATATGTTGTTTTCAAGAGGGAAGGAYAACATCTTAAATTTAAGATGAAATTCCTAATACTTTAATCCATAGAACCAATATTCCGCCGTAATATTTAAAATTGTACAACTAAATCGATTTTGTGTAACATTGATTTGTTTTTTCTTTGTATTTTTAGAATAATGGTCTGAATTAGTTTGTACACTTTAAATAACCCATGAAACTAATAAATTTATAGATGATTAAGACAAACGTAACAAACATAAATTCGCCAAATATAGAGATAAATTATTCAAGATGAAAATCAATAAATTAAAAGACTAATAGATTATGGTATATTTAATATTTGTAATACCTCGCAAAGTTGAACAGCGGTGATGTCGTTTTTGCCTTGTTGAAACCTTATGACAAAGGCCAAGTAATGAGGAGGGTCACTGTTTTCATCAATCTTAATTGTTATGTTCTTGTTTGGGTAGCTGCAATCCACTCTGTTCCCACATAAATCATCAGTTAGAGAGAATAAAAAAATAAGGCCACGAATTTTTTATTTTTTATTTTTGGTTGATGCTTCATGTAGGTCAAAATAACAATTATTCGAAGAAGCGAATCTGACATTTTTGTTATATAGTAAAAGAATTGATAAGATGTTAGAAAATATCAATAAAATACTACTTAGGTAAACATAGTATTATTAATAAGATCAAAATTTTTAACTTATTTAAAACTAGTTGAATGTTTATTTGTTAATAATTTAAATATATTTTATGAAAAATTTAATTAATTTTTATGTCTTTTCAAAAATAACTTCCCACCTCTCAGGACAAAAATTCTAAATAATTTTATTTGAAAGGAAAGTTTTTAAATATTTATCGGTTCCATATTATTAGAATTTCAGGAATGTAAAAGTGTAAAAATTCAATTTACTAAAGTGAGCATAGCTCAACAATAATTGACATATATCTCCAACTCTCACCTATAGAAAGGTGTAATTTTTTATTTCTTTCTCTTAAGGTTAAAATATATTTGTTATAATATTGTTGGTTTTGAATTTGATATAGAAAATGAAAACAAACCGTTTATATTCAATGTCAATGACACCAAGGGCTAACAAAGAAGCAGCAGACTCATAGGTTTGAGCCAATGCAGCGTAGGCTCTTCTGCTCATTATAAAATCGGCGCCACCCCCTGAGCCGTGGTCCGTTATCACCACCATTGCTCCCTTTTCCGAGCACAATTCACTGTCTATGCACCTCACCTAATCATTCCCAAAACCAAAACAATACCGTTACACGACGTTTAAAAAAACACTATTTTGATCTATGTATTTTCAATTTTTATTTATTTTAGATTTATATGCTTTGGTCGGTGACCATTTTGATCGTCCTTTATTTTTCAGTTTTATCTCATTTCTTACCATCATGACATTTCACTTGTAAAATATATACATGAATATGCAAATGCATGCATTACTTTAAGTTTTGGAACAAACTATAGTTTTACGATAGGAGAAGATTCTTTTTTAGTTCAACATGTGTGGAGGTGAAAGATCGAACTCGAAGCCTCTTAGTTTTAGATATATGCCAAATTACAACTGAGGTATGCTCGTTTTGTTTCTCGTGTAGCATATATATATATTGTAGACGACAATCATAATTGATGGTTGTTTCATAGTACAAAAGACCATTGCAAAGTTTTTTTTCTAAGAAATCATAGTCTAATGTCTAAAATTTAAATGATGGTTTATTTCAAATTTTATAGTAGTGATGATATATATATACTCACTAGAAAACTGATACTATTTTTAACATATATTTTTTTATATTAAGATTTTTATTTGAATACGATTTTATATTTTGTTTTTAAAGTTATTTTTGAAAATCTTAGCCAAAAATAAAGCATTAGATTTTTTTAAATGATTTATATATATATATATATATATATATATATATAGGAGTAGTATTTGACCTGGTAACAAGCTCCACAACCGAGGCCGTTTCGGTAGAGATCAGAGGCGGTGGCAACATCTCCACCGTTGATCGTTGCTCCAAAAGTTCCAAAACCACACGCTCCATCTGCAAAACAAAAAGCCAACAAATTGTGAACACAACAACACAACGTAAACGGTGTCGTATTGAAAGAGAGATGAAATTGGTCTTACGGTCCGTTCCCTGTTGCTCTGAATTAGGGTAATGCGCGGCTCGAGAGCGTGTGAAACAATCGCCGCACGTGGCACTCTCTGCCAGCTGCCTTTGCAATTGCATGAGAATTAAAGTTTTTAGGAACAGAGAAAATACAGAAGATTGAGAGATGAGAGCCATAATAAAAACAGTACAAAAAATCTCAAAAATATTGAATGAAAAAGAGGATCAAGAAGAATTATTTGAAACGATGAATTCAAATTGGGCAGAGTTTTTGAAGTATTTATAGTGAAATGAAATGGTGGC